TTTAAGACGATAGTGATCAATTCAAGTTGCATGGGTGAAACTAGCTTTTTTTAACTGAATATACACCATACAGTTTTGTAAGTCAGATTGAAATAAACTTTCTGGGTTGAATACAGTTGACATTGTCATTTTGTTTTCCTTTTATATAGTTGAGTGCAGGCATACATGACTTGCGACTCCTGCTAGCAGGTTTAGAGTTCTCATTCCCAAAGCTCATGGTAAGCCTTACCCTACTAGTTTGCCCTGGAACATGACCAATCTGTTAATAACCAGGTCTCCAATTACTGCTGGGTGAACAAGGATAAACAGTTAAGGATTAGCAACCAGCCAATACTCCCTGGCCAGGAATCAAACCCGGATGAAATGTCTTGTGAGGCATGGGCTAGTGTGTTACCACTATGCCACCAGGGATTGTTGTGCTGTCAAGGAGTTGTAAACTGATTGTAATAAGAAATTTGTTAAGTAAAACTGGAACAGACCCTGATAAAGACGCAAGTATTTAGTTACGCTCCAGGTATGACAACTATTGGCATGAGATGATATAAATTTATATGCTGTGAAAGGAAACTATGCATCACAAATATATGTTATGCAAAAGTACACATGCATATATATGAAACAATGTAAATAGGGAAAGGGGTTGATTAGGGTAATTGATTATGTACTTGAGCAAAGAAGAATATTTAAGTATGCATGTAAAGTATTGTCTCAGCTCACTAATTTGAATCATATGGAGCAGACCCTAATCACAAGATCTATGTTACCTCACTTCCCACACATGATGAACATATGCTGTATTTACAGTATTAAGGCAGCATCTTCATATCAATATAACAATTGCAACAACAGAAATTTCAAAATTCATTGGTGAAGTTAAGAACTATTTAGATAACTGAAGGGCTTAAATTTTGTATAATAACTTAATGAAGCCCTAAATTACTGTACAAGTGCTTGTCACAACCCGGTTCTGACTGCTAGCTGCTGAGGCTTTGCTGGTTGAGGCTCTTTGACTTTCAGATCTAACCAAATAACTATCTTTTTTTACCTGTCTCCTTTTTTATTGTCAACCTTGATGATCAGTTCTTTGCCCAACCTAAAGTATGTGCAAAAACTTCCAAAATCTGGATTTTCACAATTTGAAGCAGCCCTTGAGTCACTAATTTTTATCTATACCACTAATTCTGCCATCCCTAGTTTTAAATAATTACTATGAGACAGAATGTTTACTTCAATGATCTATTTCTCCTCATTCCTGAAGCTCTAGCTTATGCTGATGACTGCACTCTAACCTTTACATACAAAATGGAGGAAATCCTGACTGCTACAAGACTCATTATTCCCAAATTTTCTGTAGTTTCCTCTTAGGGTAGGTGATGACAAGTTACATACGCGGCAGACAAAACACAGGTGATTATCATAACTAGACTGCATGACATTGGACCCGAGACAGGCATATGGATGGGCAGAAAAAATGTAGGGCTAGGTGATGAAATTTTACTCTTCAATTACCTTGAGCCACAAGTTGAACTATGAGGGGTAATGCAACCAAGAAACTTAAGAGCTCTGAGACACATTTCATACCTTCTCAACATCAGGGGTTGCAAAATCTCATATGAAGAACAAGTTGGCTCCCATCTTAGGTATGCACAACTTTTGGATACCCTGCCCCCCTCCCCCATCCTTTATCTAAATTCTGGACAATGTTTAGAACCAAGCAAGAATATTTATCTCTAGTCTTGACCCAGTCTGGTTATACTGGTCAGTACTGTGCACCAGAGCTTTCAACACCTGAGAGATGTTGATGACTTTACTGTTATGTATAACGTCACTGATCTCAAAAATACCCACCTGGCCCAGCTTTGTGAAGAAGCAGACGTTGGCAACAGCAATATAAGGTGTTCTGCAATCAACAACCTTGTACTGGCTATGCCATTGTCTTGAACATCGCTCCATCAAAGGTCATTCATACCTAGGCTGACTCACTTTTAGAACACCTCCACTAAACACACAGATGCATATATGTAAAATCCAGCCAATTGACCATGTGAAGGCACTAGTATGCAATTAGCTTCAGCCTGCTACCAACATGATTGTAACTTAGCACTAACCAGAGTTTATTCCTAATGGAAACACGTTTATCAAATAAATGAGTTTCAAGACCTGACTTCAAATAAGCTGATGTAGGATAACAACTCTTAGTTTGCAGTTCTTTAGGAAATGAATTACCTTTGAAATGAAACCTAGTCTTAGTTTAAAAAACCAACGTTGAATGTAATGAAATGCATCTTTCTGGATAAACTTGGTTGGCTCCCTGAAGCTAATCTCACTGAGATGGCTCCTACCTACTAGGCGAGATCAGTTGCGAAGTTCTGTTTGGCCTACCGGGGACCATAACCAGAATCTGGCCACCTCACAGAGTCACAGAGAGCAGTTGACACTCCTCCACCACACCAGAAAAGCATCCAGAAAATCAGCAAACAAATGCAGACCACTGCTGTGTTCAAAGAGACCGAAGCCTCAAAACTTAGACCAAAACTAGAGCAAGCTTGATAGCACTAACCTCCACCAGTGGGGGCGGTGGGAGCCCAAAACTCGGGGTCTCTCCCAGCCAACCAAGCCAGTTCTGGAGCAGATGTGATCACATGCACCAACCAACCCAGAAGGAAGGAAGGGAATGAGGGAGCCACTGGGGGCTCATCCAGAAAGAGTTGTTTCATTATATTCAATGCTGATTTCCTGTGGAGGCACCTTGAAGCTCACTGAAACTAACTTGCAGTCCCCGTGGCGAAGTGGTAAAACACTCGCCAGGCGCTTCGCAAGCACTTTAGCCTGGGTTTGTATCCTGGCCGAGGAGGATTGACCAGGTGCCAATCCTTAACTGTAGCCTCTGTTCATCCAGCAGTGAATGGGGTAAATGGTTGTTAAACGATTTGGCGGGTCGAATGCTGGGGAAAATTAGGATTAAGGACCTGCCCGAAATTCTATGCATGCTAATGGCTTTACAGGAATGTAAGAACTCTTGTGTGTATATTAGTTTGTTTTTATATCCATATCCATATAGTTGAAAGAGGATCCATATCCTCTTTCAACGCCTTAGTGTGGCGATCCAGAGAGGAAATGCTCACTGCATCCATGGTTCCTGCCCGCCATCTGAGGAGCTGGAGGAGCTCTACAACTTGTGACAAGTAGCCTTGTACCTTGCATGTAACCAATGTTGTAACCCTTTTCGTGTAATGAAATTTTAAATAAAGTTAGATATATATACACACATACAAAAAGAATACGGGTGGTAGGAGAAAAAAATATCAGTGTTCAGTGAGGATCCACAAGGTCTTTTCTGAGTACTCTTTATTTTCTTCACCGAGGCCATAGGTCCCTACAATTGCACCAGAGGTTGTACCCCTTTTAGGTTTTTTGTATATGTATATAAAACCTATGTATAGAGAAGAAAAACAAGGGCAGACAAGAGCCCACAAATCAACTGCCATGAGGGCTACATAAAACAAAAGAACAGAGCATGAAGCTGCACCAACTCCTTATCCCAGGAAAGATCAGGAGCAAACTGGCAGTCACTAAGCAGTTCAAAAGAGGAACTGCCCAAAAAACACTTGAACATCCGAGACCTCACACCACCTAACCATGCAGGAATGAAAAAAGTTGCACCAAGACCCAATGGAAAAAGAGAGAAAAATAGTCTTCCTGCTGGCCAGGAAGACTCTGGAACCTTGCAGCACAGCCAGATGGGCAAAGATGATGACCCAAACTCAAAAGAGGCAGGGTCCTTCAGAGGCAAAATTCGAGTCATGCAGGAAGTATTTATAGATCCACCTGAGCCACCATAGGCAAGACCCGAAAGGAAGGAAACCATCAGAAGGACACATCTGATGGACCATAAGGTACATGGAAACATACAATGGGAAAGAGAGGTCAGGAGGGGGACTAATGGAAGCTGGGCATGCCACACCCAAAGGGAAAGGAAAATTAGATGTAGATAGAACCAAGGTGGAATTAACTACTGTACCTCCAATTTCGGAGGTACATTGGTGCAGTACCAATGGACAAGTGGCCCAAGAGAAGGAAATATAGTATTAGTAGTAGTAACGGAAGCCAAAAACTAACAACTAGAAAAGTGTAATCAGACAAAGTCAGAAAGGAACTGGCATTAAGACTGAAGCCGCAGCAAAACACATTGATACAAGTACTGTACCAAAACATTTTCAGTAGCAAAGAAAAGAAAATAACATCTAGGTCAGAAAGATCCTCAGAAAAAGTAAATGTGGTAAATGAAGGTTATCTTGAGGTTATCTTGAGATGATTTCGGGGCTTTAGTGTCCCCGCGGCCTGGTCCTCGACCAGGCCTCCACCCCCAGGAAGCAGCCCGTGACAGCTGACTAACACCAAGGTACCTATTTACTGCTAGGTAACAGGGGCATTCAGGGTGAAAGAAACTTTGCCCATTTGTTTCTGCCTCGTGCGGGAATCGAACCCGCGCCACAGAATTACGAGTCCTGCGCGCTATCCACCAGGCTACGAGGCCCCTCGTTGAATTGTTCGGTTAGGTACGAAAAAGGAAAAGATTGACCCTTAAGGATCATCCTATATGGAACTAAACAGATGGAAGTAGTACTCATGAATGTGTGTGTGTGTGTGTAATTACATAAGTGTAATTACCTACGTGTACTCACAGGATGTGAAATATACTCGTGGTGTCCCATCTTTCCTTCGTCATATAACGCTTTGAAACTGCCGACAGTTTTGGCCTCCACCACTTTCTCGCTTAACTTGTTCCAACTGTCTACCACTATTTGCAAAGGAAACTTTCTAACATTTTTTTGGCACCTTTGTGTGTGAATGTGTGTTTTTTGTTTTTGAGGATGTTTGTTTTAATAAACATGCAGTACTTTATTAAGTATTATTCTTAAAAAAAATCTGAGGTAAAACAATATCATGCACAAAATAAGGCTTGCGAATCAAAAGCAATTTTTAAAAATTACACTTACGGAGAGTTGTGGGTAAAGCTGGCAGCACTGAGCCTTGCCCAGTCCCTGCTCTTGGTCCAGAGATTAAACTAGGCATAATCCCAGAGACCATACCAGGCATAGTACCTGGCAGAGCACCTGTAGTGCATCCTACAGTTGTAGGTGCTACAAAACTAGAAAGACTACTTGATGTTGTAGCCTGAAGTGCCATAACAGCAGAGGCTGAGACAGGAGCAATAGGGATAGATGCTGAAACAGGGGCAGCAGGAGTAGGTATATTGGTCGTAATAACCATAGGTGACATAACAGGACCAGGAGCCCTGGCTGGAGTGAGTGAAAGGCCAATATCAAGACCTGTAAAACCTCCTCCTCCTCCTCCTACCCCAGCAGCCATCCTTACATTGCTAGGCATCCCATATCCAGTGGACGTTCCTATAGGGACCAACAACAGATGTCAACATTGTAACACACTGCAGTAATTGTGCATATCTAGATCTGTTGGTACTATCAGAAAATATATGTTGCCAATTTTGAGTAAGTTCAATAAGAAATGTTTTCTGTCAGTCAAAATATGCCAAGAGAACAGAAATATTATCCAATGGAAAGCAAAACAGAAACTTGGTACCAAGCTGCAGTATACACTTAGGGTTTGATGTGCCCAAACTCTGTTTCATGTGGACAAGGCATGTATACTGTACACAACACTTTGGTGGTCCAGTCTCTCCATGTGTTCCTGACTGTATACATTCTGCTTTCCACTGGCCAATCATAGGCCACTCAGCGATGCAAAAAGTTTACAATAATTTTATGTTCACTCAGTTATTTGTTAGCTTACATCTATAAATTTGGTGTTAAAATGTTTGCAACATTTCTAGATAACATAACATAGATAACGTCTAGATAACAGATGCAAAAAAAAAAAAAAGTGTACAGTATTTATAATAGATGATGCTACTCTCTGCACATTCCTATGTGAAGAGAGTAGAAAGAGTTTACACACATTCCCATGTGTATAAACATAGCTAGCTTGGCTGGTCCCACTGGGCAATGCTTAAAATGTTTACAATCATTTTATGTTTTCTCAGTTATTTATTTGGTTACAACTATAAATTTGGTGTCAAAATATTTGCAAATTAATTCTCTAGAGAACAGATACAAAAACAAAAGTGTATTTGTAATAGATTATGTCTGACAGCAATGAATATACAAATGTTTATGAATAGCAATGGAATGACACATTTTAGCATCATCAAAATGCAAAATTGTTAACTTGCTTCATGGAAAACATTATCCGAATTCACACACGTTAGGCTTAATATTGGTTTAGTAAATACATATATAGTATACTGTATTGAATATATAAATATATATGTTTCAATAACAAATCTACATTACAGTTTTGTCTTCACTCAATTATCCAAATAATATATGGGCCAACGTCCATTCTAGTTAGTCAAACATTCAACTTAGCTGAACTGCTTACCAGGAATATTCAAAAATTAATAAATTCACAATTTTTATACCACAATTCGCCAACTCCCACCGCCTGCCTGTCCAGCCCAGTGACTCCCGCCACCCATCCAGCCCAATGACTCCAGCCATCTACCTGGAACAGTGACTCCTGCCACCCATCCAGCCCAATGACTCCAGCCATCTACCTGGAACAGTGACTCCTGCCACCCATCCAGCCCAATGACTCCAGCCATCTACCTGGAACAGTGACTCCTGCCACCCATCCAGCCCAATGACTCCAGCCATCTACCTGGAACAGTGACTCCCGCCGCCCATCCAGCCCAATGACTCCAGCCATCTACCTGGAACAGTGACTCCTGCCACCCATCCAGCCCAATGACTCCAGCCATCTACCTGGAATAGTGACTCTCGCCACCCATCCGGACTAATGACTCCAGGAACAGTGACTACCACCACCCATCCAGCCCAATGACTCCAGTCATCTACCTGGAACAGTGACTCCTGCCGCCCACCCAGCCATGTGACCAACCATTTAGCCCGTCTAGCAACTTTTGCTGTCCATCCAGTGAATCCTGCCATTCACCTAGTGACTTTAATCATTTACTCAGCGGCTCCCACCATTTATCCAATGACTCCCACCGTCAATATAAAACAAACACTTTGAATTGGTACTGTATGTGCCATTTTGCAAAACTATACCAAACACAATGCCAAATTTTAATTTCACACCTTCTGATAGAAATAATTTTGTTGGGCGGGGAAAAGTCAAACTGGAGAAGACAGTAGCAGGCAGTATATTACCAGCTTGGTTTCAAACCTCACTAAACATCTAAGAATATGCAGGTGACATACTGTAAGAAAAAAGCAAATGTTGGCCCAATTATTTACTTAGATAATAATAAAGTATTAATAAATGTAATGAAATGCTTCTTTCTAGTTAACTTCTCAGTACACCCCACCCCTTCTCTCTCCCAGAGATTATCGTATTTACCAGCATAAAAGACGCACCCTCACATATGACGCACGCCCTATTTTACAAGGATATTTTGTGGAAGCATCGGCAAATACAGTAAATGCTGGTACTGTTTTCACACTGTAGCAGACCACAGAGATTTACACAGGCCTACTAAGAATCAGGACCAGAATCTGGTTCTCTTGACAGCACAAGAGGGAAATGAGGATCATAAACCAACTCAAAACCAAGGAACACTAACAAAAGGTCCATGCAAAATTACTGTTTGAAATAAGAAATAAATGAAGAGGAAAACAGGGCAAACAATAATTGGCAAACGGATGAACAACCCTTGTTTCAACTTGCTTAGTTGGACACGCTAGGCGGAGGGAAGCAGTGTCGGCTAACCAAACAAAACCCTAACGATTAGACAAAGAAAGATTAGACAAATCACTTAACATAACCCAACCACAAATCCAGCTAGGGCACAAGACCCAGAACTAGACAAGTCTTAACCTCAGCAGCACACATACTAGGCACACAACTACATCAACAATTTATTAATAGGTCTCACATTGGAACAAAGTCCCATGCACTACTCAGGAAGGCAACTCAAAAGGAGTCAATATGCAGAGTAGGAATTTAAACCAGTTAAAGAAAGCTCTGGAAAACCATGGGTGACAAATCAAGTACCCAGGGTATAGAACCATAAACTCAAAGTCTGGGTGAAATAACAGCCAGGACCACACAATGAGGTACAAGCACAATCATAAAACAAGGCATAAAAATTCAACAGAGCAAAGGTCTGCATAAAACAAGTGTTCCATAGAAAATCAACACCAGTTAGCCTAGAAAAGCAGATAAGACATGCTAGCAGGAGCTATATGACCCACTCAGTATGTATGACCCTCTGTGTACGTAAAGCAAATGATGGACTGGGGCCCAGAGTGGCCTAAGATGACAGTGGCAACCAAAGGAGTTGGAGCTATGGTTATTCATTCCTTGCCAATTATTGTTTGCATGGTATTCCTCTTTTCACATATTTATTTGAAGCAGTAGTTTTCCACTTGGACTTTCTGGTTAGTTTCCTTGGTTTTTGGACTAATCTTTATTCCCATTTTCCCCTCATTGAGGAAACCAGATTCTACTCCTAATAGAAGTCCCTGGTAGAACTAGTCCTTAGTCCCTGGTAGACCCGGTAAGATTTGAAGCCTTTGCAGTACCAGCATTAAACTCCATAAGCCAACCCAGAAATGTAAGAAGAATCAATTATTTGCAAGGTTTAAGTGTTAGGAGCTTAATTAGACAACAAAACTACAAAAAAAAATAGTGTCATTAAAGATCTGGCATATCAAAATGTGTAACATTATTTATCATTTTACACTCATAATTAAGATTTATGACAATGTTCAATTTTACTAACCCTATAACACATGTTTAAACTTTATGTATGAAGTAATATATACTGTATACCAAATTTATGTTACTGAATAATAGAAAATAAAAGTGAATGAACATTTCTGTGATGTGCAGATAAAGGTGTTGTTTAAATTATGTTCAGTAATCCTGCATGGATCCAGGTTACAATGAAGGCTCATACAAGGAGGGTTTAGGTGGTATTATAATACTAATAACCAGACAAAAATCCAGCATTAAATGTAATGAGATGCTGATTTCTGGGTAAGCCCCAGTGGCTTCCTGAAGCTACAATGCTGATATAGTGCCAAACTACTTGATGCCATCAGTCACGAACTTCCTTTTGGCCTACCGGGGACCGTGAGCCAGAACCTAGTCCCCTCTACAGAGACAAGAGAGCAGTGGCATTATGATAAAATTATCTGTGAATTTTAATCATGTCCACCACCACCAGGGAAGCATCTACAAAGTCAACAAAACTAAACAGATCACTGCTGGTTATAAGGAAAGATCAATGCCTCAAAATTACCAAAACAACTCGCCCAACAATGTAAACAGACTATTCAGAATTCATGAAACTAGCACAAGTTTGTTCACCCCACTTCCTTCCCCCCCCCCCATTGTTTGAGGGAAGGAAGAAAGCACACCAGGTCAGCTGGCTGCTCCACCCTCAGTTCTATAATAGAAAAAACAGCCCTAATTTCCTAGGGAAGGGAGAGTGTCAGGGAGTCACTGGGGCTCACCCAGAAATTGGCATTTCATTACAATCAATGCTGATTTTCTGGGGAGGGAGCTCCTTGTGGCTTCAAGAAGCTACCTACCCACAGAAAAGGAAAATAAAAGGAACACACTAGGTAAGGAGAGAGCACCACAGGGACCATAATGAAGAAAACACCACAGGCCCCGACCAAGGACACAAGAGTTTGTGTCCTTCGTCAGGGCAGCCAGGAAGTCACTAGCTACCTGGTTGCCAGGACCCTGCCAAAACCCCCTATGCCTGAAAATTGGCCCAAGACACATTGGCAAACACAGCCAAGAGAGTAGCAAACTTAAAAACGCAATGGGCAGGTGGGTAGAGCGCAGGCTGGCGAGGCCATAGAAGACCGCGGACAACCTGAGAAACACGCCCTGAATCAGGGGAACCAGAATGACCCATAATGAGTCCACCAAAGCAGGAGCAGTGGCACGAAGGTAGCAATGAAGAGCCGCCACTGGGCAAAGAACATAATGCACCCCTGGCCAAAGCAACCAAGCATCAAACACCAATGGACCCCTCTGGAACCCAACTCATTCTTCTCCAGAAAAGAAAGAGTTGGCTGCAAACAAAAGGATCTGCAGAGCCAAAAGCCCAAAAATCCCAGCACCAAAGGAGAGCATGAAGCATGCCGACACAACAACCAGAGATGAGGAAGAACAAAAACAATGCCTGAAGAAAACCAACACGGACCAAAGTGTACACCAGAAAGCAAGCAGAAGAAAGGAAGAAAAGGATACGGTACAAATACCAAGTCAGCTTGGGCAGTGTATGAGCAAGCTATAGATGAAACAGCACCCGAGAGCTTACAAAATGAAGCGGAGGAAGTATTGACCC